GCTTCACCCCTAACTCACTTTTTATTAAACGCACACCTGCATTGGGAATAAACTACTTTCCTTGCCAGTGGAGGACCATGGCCTTATTCTCCTGAACTCTCCCTCAAGTTTACTATCTTCCTTTATACCCAGCTTTATGCCAATGCTTCATTTGGGTCATATTCTGTGTCTCTATAGTCATATAGACTCCTTTCCTTGATTCCTTTTATTATGACTGACCACTGATCTGTAGAGAACTTAAATAAAAGCAATATGGCAGAAAGCTATCCATTCCTTTGAAATATGAGTAGTCATCAAGAAAAGGAAGTGCTTTGAGAGTATTGGGACACGGCAGTACAGAATGTATATTTGACTACCTCTTTAGCAGGCGAGTGTGACAGCTGGTCAGACACAAAAGCAACCCTTTATTCCCTCACCTGTGGGTTGTTGCCCATCCAAGTTTTACAATTGGCCATCATTAACTATTTGCATAAAACTATGAGGCTGCTGCATGAAAACAAAAGCAAGAGCCTCTCTATTCCAGATTGATTACTTTCATTTAGTTTAGCTTAGGGTCTAAAATGAGCTCTGTGAATGGTACGTAAACTATAGAACTGGCCTTGGTAACAACAAGTGTTTCTACATCTAATGTCAAGGTTATTTTATATGTTTATTATTAATGTTATTTTCATTGCTATGCTGTCATCGTTGGCCAATTTTTCCAGAAATTGTAGAGCTTCTATATCGTCAGTCTCCATGAAACATCACACCAATGTGTTCTAGAGGCTCTGAATTTGACTGTTGCTGCAGGAGATATTAATCCAAGATTGCTATGAGTGCCTGAGACTGGTTCGTTCAATCAGCAGATTTGACAAAAATAGCTTAAAATCCCAAGACCGCTGATCCCATTTCTGATTGCCAAATCATTTTAATAGATGTGCTCAGTCTAGTCTTAAGCAAGGTACGCTATATCCTCAGCCTTCATTACTAGTCTTTACTTGTCTTTATAATGTCTAGTATATCAACCACTTAAATAATCAGGCATCGAGCTGTGGCATTTTTAGCTCTTCCTCTCGCTCTCTCAAGAGCACAACGTTAGTTCCCGAATCATGAATAACAGAGATAAAAGTCCCATCGGCCACAAAACCGCACTTCCATGGTGCTAGAGTTGCAAATGAACTCCGAGTGACCCTACAGAAGTCTTGCTATGTGAAGCAATACCTCTTAAGAGATTATTGCACAATTCCTTTGAGTTGGTTTACCAATCTAGTGTGTGTACAAAATGCAAAAGGGGCCATAGTTGGTAAGAATCAGTAACTTAAGTTACACTATTGTGTATTAACCATGTACTTACTTAGTTTTGGCAACACACTCAGAGGAACGACTTTCAGTGATGAGCAGAACTGCTATGTGCTCCACCCTACAGTGCAACTCCACCCACTCTCTCTGTCCCTGGCTGAACACTAGGGGGAAAGCATTGTCTGGCCATGATGCTCTTCTGTATTGACGGTAGAATGATTGATGAGTTGTGAGGGCGAAACAATGGAGCCCATTGAGAAATATTAGACTTAGCAGCACTCTCTTCTCCTTGATACAAGGAGTCAATTACACACTCCACTTACACTTCTAATAAACATCAGACCTTCAGTCCCCCATGCTTTGTTAACACTCCAGAAAGAAGTGGGTTGTTTATCAAACTCCCCCAACGTTTTCAGTTTACTGCTATTCGGTTCAAAATAAAACAATTTGGATCGAGGGAACATTGTCTTGTGAATTTGTACTTGTATCGTAAAACAATGGAAAGGGATGTTA